CCCCAAAACCCCAAAACCCCAAAACCCCAAAACCCCAAAACCCCAAAACCCCTTATTTTTTAACAGTGATTGAATCTAGGTTACTTTTTATAGCCTATGACTTAAAAAGCTCTTGGAATTTGTTCATCTTTTGCTTACTCATCATGTATGCAACGTTTCCAGAAAGTCTGTATCCGGCTAATACGAGTTGTCTGTTAATGGCATCCTTAACTTCCTCATCATTGCTGGTAAGAGTGTAAGCGTGCTTAACAGCTATGTCATAGGACTCTTGGCTCCAGGTTCTCTTCTCAATGTTTGTAACAGCACTTCCGAATTCTGATTTAGGATAGTCAGCAATAAGCTTGTCTACATAGCTATCAAGAGTCTTTAAATCTGTGAGAGGATAGCTCAACTCTTTGTATTGACCAGCAGCACCTTCGAAGTAATCGAATAAAGTCTTAAAACCTCCGATGGAGATCTTATGATCCTTTCCAAAGTTATCTCCATTAGGGAACTGATTAGAGTATCTCACAATGTTTCTCATTGGCTGATGAATGTTTCCTACCTGGTTGAGGACATATCTCAAACTCAGAGATTTCCCAAAAGCAGGATTAATTCTTGAGTTAGAGTTAGTGTCAACAGTAGCTTGCGACATTCCAACGGTATCAAGAAGGTTAAATTTAGCATGATCATCAGTGTCCTTCTCTGGTACTCCATCGAAGTAAGGCTCAAATTCATACCCCCATTTAGAAGTGAGTGAGAATCCAGCTTCATCTTGGGCTCTATAAATTGTAATTATTTACGTACCTAATGAAGACCGATCCGTCAACAAAAGTGTTCTCACCTGCTCCAGAGAACTCATCAATTGCTTTGAGCATTTCCTTGGCCATAGATAGGGCTTTGGGATCTGTATAATAAGTATGAGATGTATTTGCATAAAAATTGCTATCATGAAATTTACATGGACTTTATGTAAAGCTAAGAGCAAGTACTATTCGAGTCTATTTACTATTTTGATGTAAGATTGCTCAGACTCGCCGTTCAAGAACTTACCGGTCTGTTCCAAATCTTTTTCTGCAATTCTTGTTATGATCATGGTTGGAGTATTTGTCCATGCCTGAGCAAGGGCTGCTAAGGCGAGCACTACTAATAAAGTCTTCATTTTTAACTTTAATATTATATTATCGATATACTTATCATATAAAGGGGTTTTGGGGTTTTGGGGTTTTGGGGTTTTGGGG